TTCGAACACAAAGCTGTCTGTTGATAAATTTATGAGGCATGATGTAATTTATTTTTCACAAACAGAATGTTGTAACGAGCTACGGGTTCGGAATCGGAGTGAAGCGCCGCCTATTTAAATCTTCACGTCAATAACGCCACAATCACGCGCGACTGCCCTCTCGATACCGCGCGTATTCTCACTAACCTCCAGGAATGACTCCTCTCATCACCAATCTTCACGTACGCTTCTCCAGGTCTACGGGTGCGACGGCCCACACGTTGCGGCACCAATCTGCCGTGTACGCTTTTACTGTTCACTTCACTTTATTCACTTTTCCTTTTACTGCCTCTCTGGCTCGCTCCGGTCCCAATTTACAGTTTTAATTTCGTTTTCGCGGCTAAAACATTCTAAAAACGAACTTCTATTTAAATTGAACTTTCTGGAATCAGGCCCGAAATTACTTTAATAGAAAGATCCGAAATAAGAAGCTCTTACACTCTAACTACTAATCTACGTTGTTGACATATCCAACGTCAATAAACTGATCGTAACAATATTTCTCTTCCCCAATAAACGGATTTTAGTAAACTTTCTATGACTTTTTGAAATATATAGGATTGAGCAGTTTTTTTTTTATTATTTTTTTATTATGTGTTTAGTACTTCACAATCTTAACTCAAAATAAATCTATTCTATGTATCCTCTTAAATGGAAATCTTATATAAACCAAAGCTTATCTTAAAAACTATCTATAATCTAGCTTTACTATAGCTAAGCAAACATTTTTACAAAATGATTACTGAGTCCATGCACCACTAAAGGATTATTCAAAAAGAACAAAAAGCAGCCAATTGACAAAAAAAAATTAACATTTTCAAATAACTCCATTTAGAGCTTTTTGATATCACAAATCGCATTAGAACGGGCAACGTCCGTAGGCACGTGTACTCGTCGCGTCCTAATTAAAACACGGGACGGCTAATCGAGTTCACTACGTGGCCCGTCAAACCCTCCGCCCCTTCGCCCCCTAACTTCACTCGCTTTTATAATGTAAATAATTGCACACTCTCCGGAGCCGAGGCCAAAAGCTGCCATCATCCACGCTCTACAAAATAATAATTTGTATCTTTGTACTGCTAACTCTTATCGTTTCATTTTATTCTTATTTCTTAACAGTAAAAACATAAAAAGTTTTTGACAATAATTTTGATTAAAAAAAAACCGACTTCAAAAAGAAAACCAAAAACAATTGTCAGCGCCTATAACATTTGAGGATTGCCCTTGATTTCTCTGGGATGCCATCATCAGATCTGGGTTTCCTTATCATGGTACCACCCTTGGGATATTTCCTTTTCAACAAAAAAAGAATCATCAAAATCAGTTCATAAATGACGAAGTTATCCCGGAACACACATAAAAAAAATAAAAATATATACGGTCGAATTGAGATACCTCCTCCTTTTTTGAAGTCGGTTAAAAAATGAACCGACTTCAAAAAGTATAAAATAATATTCAATCTAATATAATCAAATCTTGAAAATCTAGCTACATAACCTCACCTAAGCTACCTAACCTCTAACAAAATTTAACAATTTTGGAGTCGGTGCCAAGCCTCTGATCTGAGTATGAAATCATTCTCTTAAATTTGTTACACAAGATCAGTTTTTAACAAGATTAGAGACATTATGAAATTTATTATATATGTATATATATATCTCTACCTTTAAGCCTATTTGATAGACAATCGCAGTATTCATTGATGCTAGTAGCTTCTTTCTGTTTTTTTTTTAGAACGGTGTTATGATGTACAATCATTACCCATGGTGAACAATGGCACCTATCCTATCTCCTCATTCAAGTTTCCTGAATTCTGGAAAAGTGCTCAGGTAACTCCTCTCCCTAAAAAAGCCCATGCATTGCACTTTTCCGAATTTCGTCCTATTTCTATTCTCCCGTCTCTATCCAAAGTTCTTGAGAAACTAGTTTTTCAACAGTTAAATCTCTATCTGAACAAAAATTTTCTTCTTAGTCCTCTTCAATCCGGTTTACGATCAGGTCATACGTTTGTCATTACGTCAAGGTACGACTACAGCGTTGGTTAAAGTTACTGATGACATTCGACGAGGTATGGATAATAAACAGCTCACTGTATTAGTATTGCTAGATTTTAGTAATGCATTTAATACCGTTAATTTTGACCTCGTGTTGAGTGTGTTACGTTCCATTAACATATCTCCACTAGTGATTGGCTGGTTTCAGAGTTATTTAACTGGACGACGGCAGCGTATTCGCATGGAAGATAAATGTTTCCGCCATCAATGATGACCTAGCCGCTATCAATGAATGGAGTAAAAGCTATGGTCTCCATGTTAACCCTTCTAAGTCTCAGGCTATTATTATTATATATATATATTTTATTACTATATATATTGGTGGTGCTGGTTCCATTTCAAGAGTTGACTGGAATAGCCTCCCCTTGGTAAAATTAAATAGCGTTATGATACCGTATTGTACCACTGTGAAGAATCTTGGTGTCCAATTTGATAACTCGTTCTCGTGGTCTGATCAACTGAATCAAGTGAGCAGAAAGTCATTTGCTGCAATGGGTTCTCTCCGTCGTTTGCGTTTTTTCTTCCCATTCCAACTAAAATTATGTTAGCACAATCCTTACTTACTCCTCTCCATTCTCGATTATGCGGATCCTATCTTGATTTAACTGAAGAACATCTAAATAAACTTGAGCGTATTCAAAATTTAGCAATTAGGTTCATATTTGAATTACGCAAATATGACCACGTCTCCGAATTTCGTTCAAAGCTCAAGTGGTTACCCATTCGATTTCGCCGGAATCTGCACACTGTCTCTCTTCTGTACTGTGTATTATTCAACCTAGGGTTCCACTCCAAGTTATTTAAAGGAGCACTTCAAGTTTCTCGGCCATAACCGGCCAGAAAGAGTTCTGCGATCCGCTGGAGAACCACACGCGTATAAAACCAAATATTACAAAAACTCCTTTACAGTCAAGGCCATCTGCTTGTGGAATGAACTTCCTCAGCAAATTCGTCGTGCAAAGACGCTAGACAAATTTAAAAATGACGTAAAGAATCATTATCTTTCCCTTTGTAATCCATAGGTAACATTGACAATATATTTATTTATGTTAATTATATATATTATATATTTATTTATGTTTATGTATGTTTATTATAGTTTATTTTGTTATTATTAAGTAAGTGATTAAGCACACCACCTCCCACTATTCATAAGTTTAATTTTCCTTGTCCTAAGGTTGTCTGGAAGAGATCGCTCTTTAGCGATAAGTCCGCCTTATTGTACCTAGCTTTTAAAATTTATTTTATATCAACTGTATAAAACTTTTTGTGGTTTACAATAAAGTATATATAATAATAATAATAAGTGAGCTTAAAACGCGAAAACAGCGTATGAATTGTGTAAATACCTACGCTTTTTTCTTTTTCAGCAGTTTTCTCAGCTGTCCTGAATACATCTTCTTAAACTTTCAAGTGTACAGACGTGATGTAATGTTGTGTGGCTGGGAAAAAAATGCATACTCGTATTTATGCGATAGCAGCAATCACGGTTGATTCGCTGTCATTTTTTGAAGAGTTCATCATCAGATCTATATGAAATTTAGTACTTCTAGTTTCTAGCACTCACTCTGTTTTCTCCAGAGAAATCGATTATCAATAACGGCAAATCTCTATACATTATTCTAGATTAAGAAATCACCTAACCACAACTGTTAACGTGTTGTACCTTCCTTCATCAACGCTGCGTCATGGGATGATGATGAACATATGCAAATGCCTCAATAGCTTTAGAAACTATACGAAAAACATTGTTATTAGCTATCGACGACCCGAATGGCGTAGTGGGTAGTGTAGCTACCTCCTGTGCCAGAGGGTGTGGGTTCGATCCCCACTACTGGAAAAAATATTGTGTGATGAAAATTTTCAGAATCGTTCACAAATAGGTGAGAAATCGGTGAACATACATAGAAAAAAAAACATACAGTCGAACATAGAACCTCCTCCTTTTGAAGTCGGTTAAAAATAGACGGTTAATAATTATATTCGCAGCGAATATAATTATTAACTGTGTATATCTGAAACGGGACAACTTTGACATATCGAGCTAGTAATCTAGACGTGTGTATAATAAAGATCGGTTGTTCATCGGTTTGTTTCTCGTCGTTTTTTTTTTGTTGATGTAACTGAAAAGAACTTATCCCAGGCGATAGCGACACCCGTTGAAACAAGTCGAGCGACAGCAAGACTTCGATCTGACCCTTCAAACTTCCGTACGATATTCGACATCTGATCAGAGAGAAAAACTTTGACCGATATCGATCGGAATCGAACCGGGCCCAACTTAGGCGCCTCCTAGCAGAGGTAAATTAATATCATATATCAGAAAAACGATGGACGGCGCGGGACGCCTCACTAGAAGTTCTAGAGCCATTGCAAACTGCTTGCTATCAATTAGCCCGTAGAGCAAGATAAACAGATTAACCTGAATCTTCGTTTAAATTTCGCTATTTGCCTTTAATACTACAAAGTATTTAAAGTTCCTCCATTCCTCTTTCCATTTGTATTTTGTGTTTTGTAATAGTTTTGTAGACGAACTGGGGCGAGTTGGAAAGTTTTAAGCGGTTAGGAAATAATTTTAAAAGCGGCGCAGTGTCTTGTTGTTTGTATTTCCTTTTACGTCGGGTTTCTGCGCTTCTCCAGAGAATCCAGTAAACGTTCAGGTATTAACATTAAAAGCTGCCATATATTTCTAATGATACGATAGTTTCTGGGTGAGGCACATTTACAAATAGAAGGTTTTAAAAGCGTCAATGATGAATTGCACACTGGACCATCAACAATATCATATCGTCAATTATGAACATATTGTAATTTTTATATTACTTACGTTGCAATTTTCTATGTAAGAGCATAATTCTCTCTGAAGTAATACTGTCGTTACAGTTGTTTCAACAATGCAGTGCCCTAGTAACAGGAAGCGTGTCGTACGTAGTGCTGAATGTGAGGCAATGTTTTCCCCGCGAACAATGCGGGTGTCGTGCGCTTGTTGCGGAGGCATTGTTCGCTCCCGCTGTGACGCGTCCCTGACGCCCTGACGTGCTCGTACGCGCACAATGCACGATGCGGCGACCACTCGCGTCTCGAGGCACCCACCATCACGAAGTGCGGACTTTTCATTCATCATGCGGATCATACTAAATGATGCGTTTTTATTAAGCCGTCACTCGCGGCCGTGTCGTGTCGTTGCGACACACCACGACATAGGCATTTCCAGACGTATGGTCCATTCGTTCGGACGTGTGTTTATTGGTCTCTCGTTTAATTCTCAATGAAATGTTTTACACTCGGTGTAAGATGGCTGAATCAAAAATACTTAGTATTTTGATTATTACATTCTTTACATGGTTTCGTCACTTAATTACACCAGCCAGGCAATCCACACCTGAAATTTTGAATTAAACAGAATGAAGTTACTGTTAAGGATCTCCTTCACGCTGCGTGACGTCGCGCCGGATATGCCCCGGCTACTTTTAAAGAATAAATAAGAGGTATATATTTTTATTCGTGACGCTTGTCTCGGCAAATCAAATAAAAGGGAGGTTCAAATCTTCATCCTTGGGGGATATTACTGTTTATGTTCGGGAGAGACTCCCCGAGTTTCCATTGATCGAAGGAGTAATCGAATTCAGCCGTCCTTATACAGCGTGTCGTTACCATCGCGACAATAAATGAACACACGTCTAACGCTACTTGCCAATAATCATAAAAAAATGTTAACGTTAAACAAAATCTATAATAAAAAATTTTTTTTTCAAACAAACTAATTAAGTAAAAAAGAAACAAAATTTGTAACACCTATACAACTCGCACCACAGCGTCGTATTACAAGCCTCTCCTTCTAACAGTATGTTTTGTCTCTTTTAAATTCATTCAACCCATTCATCTGCTTTGTGACCTTTACAAATGAACTTTACGTTACAGTTTTATACGTAAGGGTGTTCTAAAATTCTTTGTTTTGGAAAATTTAATAACTCGGTAAATATTGATGTTTAAAGAATGTAAATGTTTAATACAATTTTAAAAATTTATCCTCTATATGTGTGTTCATTTATTGTTGCGGTGGTAACGACACGCTGTATACAGATTAGCCACGCTGGCTAGCGGACCATTACCTCTCCCGGATTTCCTATTTATCCAAGTACTTTATTGAAAAATAAATCTTTGTGTAACTTATTAACTTCATTTAAAAAAATGAAAGTAACGATAACAAAATATGTTTGTTTAAGAAATTTTGAAAAAAAAAACGCAAGTTATACTCGATACTAACGGTGCATCTCCATATCTTATAATATTTTCCAGTAGCAAACTCCGATGAACAATTGATAGCACGTGCCCGAGTTGTTGACCTCATAGCAATGGGGTAACGTTATTATACACGAAGAACAGTCGCGACGCAGTCTCAATATTGCCGACATTATTAATTGTGTACGGGAACAAACACTCAACACACATGAAGAACAATTACTGTTATAAAAGTATTATTAAGCCTTGTGATTTTAGCTGCAACTTATAAATCCGCGAAAGTGAGTGATGACGATTGTCTACATCGCCTTTCGTGACAAAGATAGTAAACCGAACGATGAAAGTTCTAAAAAGAAGATCTACACCTACTATTGATATTTTTTATAACAGGCTTGTGTTGCGTGCTAAATGCAACATTTTGGTCCTCAGAGTGGTTCAAAGTAGAAACGTCTAGCTCGTGGCTCCTAAATTACGTCACTATATGACTGTTCTATCTATTAAGATGATATAGGTATCGTGGGTTATATAAGCAGAGGATTAAGACATAAATAACATTTTAGACGTAATTAACATGGCAACTTGTCACGGATGAAAGGATAAATTATTGACCGTGGCGGTAGGAGGGCCCTTTACTTGGACATCAAAGGTTCGGCGCCGCCGTGGGCCGCGGGGTGCGGGGTGAGCGGGGCTGGGCACGCTCGAGTTGCCAACGCGGCCGCACCCTGTGCGCAGTGGCGCGTGCCGCCAACGCCTACGTACGCGCAAAGCTTACACAGATTATGGAACTCGCAATCAAGTAAGGTGGCGTAAAGAATTTTAAAAGACATTTAATAGTATTCGAATAAAACTTTTACAAGCGGGTGCAGCAATTATCGACGAATATATCAATACGTTTAAACGACAAATATAAACAGTACGTTTCTATTTGTAAATCCATTAAAATGAATTAAGTTTAATTTTATTTTCTTTTATGTAGATATTATTCATCGCCTATATTTAATAATTAAAATGAAGGTATCTATTATTTTCGATCGTGATTTTATAAATCAAGAAATAACGGTAATTATAGATATAAAGGAATAATCATTGTCATCAGATCAATGTCAACGACGTAGGAAAATATCGCGTTTTTTTTTTCTGTCTAAATCTAAGTCTGCCAGTTGGCCGGGGCGTCGCGTGATGAACTAGGCCCTAAGGCCGACTGTCCAGAAGAGGAGGCGTTTGTTCAACAGTGGGCATATATAGACTGTAACTTTAATTTGATTAACGATATGGTCGACAGAGAACCCAATAAAAACAATATTACTTATAATTATATTCGAATTACAATTTACATTACTTAAAAATGACTGATTGAAGTAGTTTAGGCATCCACACCCGTACCTACATTGTTGGAAGCGACAACAAGAAGGTAATTTATTCGTTAATTTGCAGTATAAGTTATTGTAAATTCACAATAACTTATACTACAAATTAACGAATCGAAGCTATAGAAATTAATTTGTATATAATTACATCGGTCATTAAAGTCAAGGACAGTAAAAAATCTACGTGAGAAAACTTATTCACCATTCACTTCTGAATAATATTTTAAACTCCAGAGATAAGATATTCCGATAACTTTAATAGAATTATGTTTTTATATAAAATGCAGCAGCAGAACATAAGTTAGTAAAAATAGGCTACGTTTACTTAAATCGAAGGCAGGTACGATAACTGCTAGGGATGGCTTCTTCACTAAAGTGCCTTAATAACTGCCAAGTTTATCTACTTTGCTCAGTGAAATAGTATACAAGGTGGTGGTAGTGGTGGGAAAATTCCCGTATTCAAGAGCAACTGAAGTAGTGTAGAAAGCAACACTGTGCTAGCTAAGGCATTTCTCTCTGCGTTCATCATGGCACGCCATTCTTTCACATATGAATCTCAGCAAGCGACACTTTTCTATGCGAACGCACTTCGTCGATTACAGATCTGTGATTGGTTCGTCTCTGTTGCTAAGATGTGTTTAATGTCTAGCATATTGGCGAATTAAATAAGTAGTACCCGGAGGACCGAGCTTTGCTCGGTTTGTTTTTTTTTGGTAAATCGTGTATTTTGGAAATTACATTTAGATACAAATTACTGAGTAATGAAATATGCATAATATTTTTCGATATTACCGACGTAATAATAAGAAAATATGAACTGATGGTTTTCACAAAAGAAAGAACTTTAAAAAAACAGGGAAAAGAATAACAAAATAACAAATCGACAAAAAATTAAAAATAAATAAAGTAATGATCTGGCATCGAAAAAGAAAGTAAAAAAATAAATGTGTAAATGATCGTGACACGAACCACGAGAGATAACCTATAAATCGAATTGTCAGCTGTTGTGAATTTGTGAGTGGTGATCATCGAGGATCGACAAGTTAAAATAATGTTAATATGACAATGGATGTGCATCGATTTGAAATAAAAGTAAAGCAAAAAACCGGCCAATTGCGAGTCGGGCTCGCACACGAAGGGTTCCGTACCATTATCTAGTATGAAATTGTATTTGTATGAGCGCCCATACAACTCAGAGGATCGTACTTGGTGTCGACCATGTATGTATAGGGGGACGCCCTTTGATTTTCATTTTTTTTGGAATTTTGCCTTTAGTTGTGCCTTTGTGTAAGGCCTTGTTTTTGCCAAATTTCGTAACTGTAGGACAACGGGATCTACCATACAAGTTTTCGACCCAAAACCTATAGGGTACTTCCGGTTGAACTATAATTGTCAATTTTGGTTAAAAGCAAGGTCTTACAGCACAAGTAAAGTAGAAATTCTAAAAAATAGATAAAATGGAAAATAAAGGTAAATTTTGGTACTTACAAGTTTTCGCGAACTTCTAAATTTGCCCATACCTTTTTATGTGTTGTCTCGTGTTGACTCAGGACCTTGATTTTATACACTTAATAGGTAACTTGCTAGGTCCACCCATTCTTGAGAAAATCAGTGGTGATACACGGACAGACATAAGAACGAGAGAGTGATCTTCTAAGGATTCCTTGTTTAACCTTTTGATGTTCGAAGCCCTAAAAATATCTAGATACAATATCGATATCTATCAATCCTACTAATAACTATTATAAATCAAAGAGTATCAATTTTGTTTATTTGTTTATCCTTCAATCAAGCTGTAACCGCTGAATGAATTTCGATACTTACATTTATAGGACACATACTTTTTTCAAAATTTTTATATCAATAAAGCACTAACCTACATATAAAATTAAATTTATTGTGCTTATTTGAAAACTCCCACAAGAGTAAAATTACTAATCAGTAGGGTCACAAGTATTTGATAAACAGAAAGCACTGGAAGCCTTTTCCCGTAAGTTTGTTCAGATCTTCATAAACAAAAGGCAGAAGTATGAAAAGTACAATATCCTTTACAACTTTTAACCGTCTTCTAAAATCCTCTTCATTATAAAACTTTTTCACTATACCTATATCTTCATTACAGTAATCGGAAGGATTTTGAAAATCTCGTATCACTTTTCTGGTATCAATTGAACTTCGTTCTTTAATAACATCCTTGACATAATCATGAAACTTTTCTTTACTCCTATAAACCATTGCGTTTAAACAAATAATAAAATAAAATATTTCAATTTGTAATTTAATATGAATGTATGTAAAAACTACACTGTGAGTTGGTTAAAATAGCTATGTACTCGTACCTACTTTACATAAGGATCATCCCTAAATAACCGCATAGATTTACCGGCCCTGTGCGTTCGTGCACTCCGTGAGGCCTCTTAGTATTGTTCTTGAGTACGGGTGTAAGACTGTTGACTATGTAGGTAATGTAAAGCAGTGCACTATAAGTGAAGTCCATCATTGTGCAGTTCCCGGAGGTAGACAGTTTGCTCTGCGGACACAATGCGGTCTCGGCGTTATCAGGGGCGGCACAATGTACCCGCACAATGGGCGCGCGGGCTCTCGGCATTAAGCCCACAAGGCGGACAAAAGAATGGCACTCGTGCTGCGTGGAGGCTTCCCCGGCCTTTGTGCCGCCACGGGCGGACGCGTGCCGACCAGCTGAATGCAATTATTTCACTTGCGTGGCTTTTCCATCGAACTTTCTTAATTTTTTCGAAAATAATTGCAATTACTGTAGTTTTTTTTTGTTTACATATATTTCTGCGTCCTCTTACTACGCAAGGAAGTGGCGTACTTTTAAGTTAATAAATTTATATTTGTAATATTTAATATTAATTTATGCCTCTCGGTCATCAATTTAGATACAGAGCTTATTATATAATTTAGATACTGAGCATTTTAAAGCTGCGTCATTCATGCAGACATTGATGGAATTTCCATTAATAAAAAACATATGTCAAAATTGAACTATCTTTTATTTTAGCACAATAAAATAACTCAAGTGAAAACGAGGGACGGGACAGTTCATCGAAAAATATTACAGAATATACATTACAGTCATAATAAACTCATTGGAACGGTAACAAAATAAATAAGTCCGCAACCAAACCAGCGGCGGTGCTGCGGCTACCAGTGGCAGTGGTGATAGCAGTTGTGGCAGTCGCAGCTCCCAACTTTGCCCCGAAATTAATCACACGACCCGAATCTGTTCATCGAATGGCCAAAGAGTCGGTGAACATATTGTATAACAGTCATCCATACCGATCAGTCCTAATTGTTAATGATAACCTGTACAAATACATTTCACAATCATATTTTTTACTCTATCGCGGCTGTTACGAATACATTCTTGCTGGTCGTGCTTTTGAACATCAATAAATCAATCCAAATAGACCATTCGTTAAATATATCAGAAATTTATACTAAGACTCTCTTATAACGAACTCAGAGCCGTACACTCAGTGCACCACATTGCATAGGACACTTCGGATCCGAGGGGAAGAAGTCGCATGGTCAAATTTATTCTACATACTAAGATTTACATAGGTACATGATTAGGTGCGATAAGGTCCATGGCTTCTTCCCGCGACCGTCCGTCGGGTTCGGTCGATTCGAATAGATATTTGTCTACATTTGGAGTTCGTCGCGACGCGTTCGCACAGCACACGCCGCGGCCCATCGCGGAGCGCTCCGTCACACCGTGGTCTCGCGGTCCACGTGGATGTACTCGACGGAGCGCTCGCGGCGTCAGGACGAGGCCGCGGAGGAGGCGCGCGACGCGTCGTACAGCAGCTCGTCGGTGAGGCGGCGGCCGGCGGCCAGCGCGCCCAGCAGCCGCTTGTCGCGCGCGCGGCCCCGCCTGCGGCGGCGCAGCGCCAGCGCGGCCAGCAGCAGCAGCGCCGCCGCGCAGGCCGCCGCCGCCGCCGCGCCGCGCCGCCGCGGGCGCCGCCAGCGCCGCCAGCAGCCGCGCGCCCGCGCCGCACGCGCCGCGCTCATCGCCGCCGCCGGGGCAGTCGGCGCGCCCGTCGCACCACAGCGCGCCCGGCATGCACGCGCCCAGCGCCTCGCACGCGTGCGCGCACGCGCTGCCGTTGCCCCCGCCCCCCCCCCCCCCCCCCGCGCGCCACACCTCCATCCAGGCGAAGCGCGCGCCGCCCGCCTCCCGCGCCGCCCACACCACCAGCAGCGCCGCCTCCCGCGCCTCCCGCGCTGCTCCGCGCGACCACCACTCCTCCGTGAACACCTGCACGGCGCGCCCCTCCTCGTCGCCGGGGCACACCGCCTTCAGCAACCTACGCAACGATTTAACGGCCTAAGCGCGCAAGCTGCACGAACTGAACATATGACATTCTCATTCGTTCCAAAGTTGCACGTTTTCCGGTCGCATTCTACTCTGTTTCTTCTGCGTATCGATTATTTGCCGCATATTAACAACATTCTCTGCTGCAACGGCTAGGCTAGTTCTCACGAATACACCGATGAGTTTCGAAATAAAGTCAAGGTGTGTCTAAGCAAAATCTCGGATAAGAGTTGACTAAATTAACTTTAATTTAAAGAGGATACCTTTAATTGCATTTACATTTTGAGGGCACTTCACTTGTTGCTACAGCTTTGATTGGAAGCTTCTGGTTAGTATATGAAGTAACCTTTAATTTCTCGGTACTTGGAAGGGAAAGTTAAGTTGGCCTTAAAAAAGCTTGAAGTCCACAATAAGGTAAGACAATGTTTAATATCAACCCATTGCCTGCAGGTCTATTAGGCAGAGATTCGATGGCACATTTAATACTATTATTATCTCTAGGCTGGGGCACCGTATTCAGCTTCAACACCATAGGCAGCTTTTTCTTTATAACCGCTTCGAAATGAAACCGACAAGAATGTCCTCTCCGATTTCCTTGATATTTTGACCTTGTTTTTGTTTGCGTTTTTAAAGCCTTGTCACGGGAAGAGTGCATTGAAGAATTGTTTGACCATTACTTGCTGCAGAGTTTAACAAAAGTGCAACTCGATAAATCGCCAAGTGATATTAATGATGCAGACACGTTGCTAACTTCTAAAAACATCAGTTACTTTATGTTGGTCTTCTGTGAAAGCAACAAGATAAGGAAAATATATGGTAAAGAGAAAATTAAAAGAATCGCAACTAATATAGCTCACAGAACTAAAACAAGCTCGAAGAAACTTCGCCACGATAGATATCATAGGCATTTGATCGAGTGTCGCATGACGGACTTCCTTTCAAAATAAAAAAGACGTACCTATAATCGCCTACAACCCAATAAAGTCATATCTAAATGACCGACACTTTTTGGTAAAACAAGGTGAAGAGTTAACGTCTTTATATGATATCAAAGCTGGAGTTCCGCAAGGCATGGGTCCCACGTTGTATCTGCTTTTTACAGCTGATTTTGCTACGACTGATGGAGTAGTTACTAGAACATTTGCTAATGACACAGTAATTATATGAATGGACAATTAACCTGTTACCATTAACCAAACTAACAGGTCAACCAACAGTTGCGAACTATGTACTGGCTACTAAATAAAAAATCACGACTCTCACTTCAAAACAAACTATTGCTATATAAATGCATAATAAAACCCATATGGACATATGGCCTAGAAATCTGGGGAACAGCAGCAAAATCAAACATTGAAATTATATAGAGATTACAGTCAAAGATACTCTGAATTATAACGAACGCACCTTGGTATGTCTCAAAAATTAGACTCGATCACGCCCTCTGCGTCAAAAGCGTTATAGAAGTAATCTCGGAAAAGATAAAAGAATCACTAATCATCCAAATATGCTGGCAGTCAATCTAATGTACACCCAACCAGTGGCTCGTAGACGAAAAATTCCCCAATACCTTCTCTGACAATGAATAACGGTCACTGGACGGCTATCGTGCAAGCCCTTCTCATCTTAAACATATTTCTGAATATCTGCAAGATTGATAAATTGCAATAATGAAATCAATAAAAAAAAATCATTGCTTTAGAAATTATACAATTCATTTTACCCACAGGCTATTATTAGAAATATTATTTAATTATGACTGAATCGATTCGTTATTAGTGAGGTGGGTCTCACCGGGCTGTGTGTGCGTCGTACACGAGAACTCGATTGGTGGTGGTGCAATGTGGCTCCACGGCGTCTTCCGACAACTCCTCGCCCCAAACACGCAAGAACACTGAACGGTTGCCACGCGCCGACACCAAGAACGGCGCTTCACCACACTCCGACATCTTGTTCCCGCTAAAGTGACATTACTTTGAGGCATTTGAAATAAATTAAATTACTTTTAGTTGGGTAGATAAGGTTAGGTGTTACCACCAGCGTGGAATCCTATTGTCAATTAAATTAAATCTAGGCCCAAACGAAGCACTACTGCAAGACAAGATAAAATTTGCATATTCTGCGTAGGTATATCGACATAAAAATTAACAATTTAAAAACTGGTGGTCGCCCGAATTAACAATGACACTCAGACTTACAACGCCTCAGTCTGTCCTGTGACCATGAACGCTGTAAATGGTTCAGAACGTCAGGAATTAAAACTAAAATAAACGTATGATAAATCCGTAAACAGTTTCATTCAGTATTGTATAATCGCGGAAATACAAGATGTTATTATACAGCGTGTCGTTACCATCGCGACGATAAATGAACACAAATATAGGGGATAACTTTTTAAAGTTGTATTAAACATTTAAATTCCTTAAACATCAATATTTACAGAGTTATTAAATTTTCCAAAACAAAGAATTTTAGAACACCCTTACTTATAAAAGCGTAACGTAAAGTTCATTTGTAAAGGTCACAAAGCATATGAATGGGTTGAATGAATTTAAAAGAGAAAAAACATACTGTTAGAAAGAGAGGCTTGTAATACGACGCTTTGGCGCGAGTTGTATAGGATGTTAGAAATTTTGTTTCTTTTTTACTTAATTAGTTTGTTTGAGAAATCTTTTTTTTTTTTTAATTATTCATTTTGTTTAACCTTAATATTTTTTTATGATTATTGGCAAGTAGAGTTAGACGTGTGTTCATTTATTGTCGCGATGGTAACGACACGCTGTATATTGATCAAAAACTTTAGTTTAAAATCTTCTTAAAAAGACTTTATTATGATTACTATTAATATTTTTCCCCAAGTACAGAATAATTATCTGCTGGTAACACATGATAAAATAAATAAATAAATATTGCTAATCACATTTTTAAACAACGTTCTCTAGTTCCAAGCATCGCTTGTGCTGTGGATAGCTGATAAACATACTTAAACATATTTTTTTTGTAAACCAATACACATCATGAACGTATAAACGCCGAGACACTGAAAGAAATACTATGTTCATGACACAATATTTTTCCAGTCTTGGAGACCAAACCCAGATACTCTGGCGCAAAAGGCAGGTTGAGTACCTACTAGGCCAATCTGGTCGTCATATAATTCTGTGTGAGAAACGAACGCCGCTAACAGCTTTAATAACTGCGCCAAGTAAGTCAGATGATGTGATTTTAATTAGATAATTTTACCACATTTCTAATTAATAAATTTAATAATCCACAATTTAAATAGCAAAGGTAACATCTCTCATTCAAATATTGATTATAAAATCGTAATTGAGAATTATAAATACTAGGTTTTTACCTGTGAAATTGCCGTACTGGTAATTTCAAATAATTAAAAGATTTGATTGGCTGTGAATTCTAAATTCATATTAATTTTGTTTTTAAAACATGCAATTCTTTTTACAAAGTCAGTCTTTTGTTTATTGATTAGCTTTGTACTTTTATTACATTTCAAAATATTTCGTCATAATGGATACTTTAAAGTTTGTGTAAGTATGGAATATGAATTCGTCGTAGCTCCAATGCGACACAAACGGCACAACGTTTACGCAGAGAACTTTACAACGAACGATTTACAACGAAAGGCGATTGTGGAAGCTGATGAAACTCAATTTACAGCCGAGCCAGCAGGTTTTTGATGTTAGCATCAAAACAACATCCGGTCCCTTTGCGACAAATTGGCAAGGTAAAAAACTTTTTAGATGGCTTTTCGAGCCCTGTTCGCGCTGTTCAACAGGCACAGAAATGAAGGAATTTTGAACCGAATTGCAAGCTGGTTAGATCACTCAAACTCAGCATTTTAGTTAGATCCTGGTTCAAGACCCACCATCAAACCTAAAGTGATTCCTAGGAAGGTGATGGTCACTGTTTGGTCTAATACCGGTGTGATTCATCATAGCTTTATGCAAAACAGCATGAGCATTACTGCCGATGTGCACTCTGAAGTACTTAAGACAATGATGCACATCTGCAACCAGTTTTCGTCAATCGGTTGTCCCCGCTGCTCCTTCAAAACAACGCGTGACCCCATACCGCACAACTGATAGTCTCCAAGCAGCAAGAGCTGGGGTTGGAAGGTCTCCATTATCCGCCATACTCACCAAACCTTGCACGGTGCAACTACCGACTATTATTTTTTCCAAAATTTGGACAACTTTTTAGTTGGAAAATAATTAAATTCCCGCAGTACAATATACCTTAGAAGAGTTTGTTGTCTCCCGTCCAGCTGATTTTTACAAGATGGACATCATTAAACTACCACTGCGTTGGAAAAGATGCATCGATTGCATGGCTTATTACTCTCGCAGTGGATCGCTGCAATAAGAGTACGCGGATCCAGCAACGCAGCAACGCCCAGCAAAGAGTGGCGAGCGGGAGCAGCGACAGCGGGACGAGTTTGCTAAAATCGAGCAACAGAGGACACCACCGGCCGAACCTACAGAAGTGATTCTGAGTTTGCTCAGTGAAGTGCAACCGTGAGTACAATTCATACACTTATTAGAATCAAAGAAGGTAGCAAGTTATTGTGATCCAAAATAATATAAATAAAATAATTTAGACTTTGTTAAGAAGAATTTACTTGTAAAATTTTAATAGTGTTTATGGACTTAGAAATATTTCGTTTACTATAATTAAGGACTTAGAATAATTTTTATAAAAGTGGAGAGACGCGGAACCTATGCCCAATTTTGTACCGGACATATATTTTTAAAACACTTAATTTTTTACGTAATTTTTTAACAGTTACAACAAATTGTAAAAGTTAAATAGTTTTAAAGTTTATAGTTTTATATTTATAAGTTAAATAGTTTTAAAGTTTTGTCTTACACTTGTTTTATAGTTACAACCTTTGTTTTTAAAACCTTGTAACGCTTTAATTTATTTATATTTCTTCGATTTAATTTGGTTTTAAATATTTTTATTTTATTTTACATTTAGTGTGCTAAGTTTTAAATATGGAAGGATTAATTAATGTCTTATCAAACTTGCAAAATGTCATATGTAAGGGATACAGTAATTTCAAAAAGAGTCCCAAGGAAAGACTAACGATTGAGTACATAGAAACTAGGCAAGAATTGTTAGAAAAAGATTGGGCGTTATTTTCTGATACCAATTCAAAGCTCTATGAACGTTTCGCATTAGAAGATATCGGGAAGAAAGTAGTTGATATTTATGATTGTACCGAAGATACTTATATCAGTTACAAAAATTTTATGAAAACAACACTCAATAAGATTAGAGTTATTAAAGAGTCAGTGCAACTTAATCGCGATTCAAATTGTAGTCAGTCAAAAGCCACAAGTTCATCTATAAAATTACCCAAAATCTCAATTCCTACATTTTCTGGTAATTATTCAGAATGGACAACTTTTCACGAGACACGTAGAATCATCGATTTCCTTAAAGGAACTTATCGATACAACTTGTGATTGTTTAAATGCGCTTAAAAATTTAAACATTGATGTAAGTACATGGGACGTTATTATAATTCATATAGTGACTTTCAAGTTAGACTCTGAAACGCGAAAACAATGGGAGTTAAGTATATGCAACAACGAATCCTCGAACGATTTGCCTTCTTTTGAACAATTTAAGGTTTTTCTTGAAAATCATTTTCGTGCGTTAGAGTGTGTAGAACCAAAAAGGGTTTCAGTTCATCAGGGCAGTTATAATAAAAATTCAACAGTTCATAAACCGCGAACAATATTGGCTACGAGTTCAATAATACGGTGTGAATTCTGCTCAGAATTGCATAAACTCTGCTTCTGCAAGAAATTTGCGAAACAAGCTTGCGAAGACAGGCGTAAATTTGTCTTAAAAAATAAGATATGTTTCAATTGTTTGGGCAGTAATCATACCGTTTATAATTGCAAAAAGCTTTCGACTTTGTCAGAGGCGTCATCATTCTCTATTGCATCCCACAGAGTCTGACAAAGGACACAATTTGACAGACCCGGCTATTGATAGTACTGAGCAATCGACTAGTACTACTAATCCGATAGTTTCGTGTTTGTCAACGGGGCGAGTTTCAAACCCTAGACAAGTTTTATTAGCCACAGCGTTAATAAAAGCAGAGTCCAGGACAGGTCAACTGCAATTGGTCAGAGCTTTAATCGATCAAGGTTCGCAAGCATGTTTTATAACAGAGGCCACAGTGCAATTTATCCATTTAAAAAGAATCCCAATTCAAGGACTCGTTTCAGGACTTGGATACAACCATTCAACCGCCGTGAAGTACATGGTACACCTAACAGTGCAATCACGGTGGAATCCTAAATTTAAATTGGAATTGAATGCATTTATATTAAATGATATAACTTCACATTTACCGGAGCGAAGTATAAGTACAAATACCTTTGATTGGATGGATATACGCGGTCAATATCTAGCAGATCCCGAGTTCAACACACCCAATAAAATAGACGTCCTATTGGGTGCCGACGTTTACAGCAGTATCATTCAGGAAGGAATAATGAAGAGTCCTAATGGTACTCTAATCGCGCAGAACACTACCTTAGGGTGGATCCTGTCGGGTGCTGTTACTTCTGTAAATAGCTAAAGATCAGATTGTGTTATAGCAATGCATGCAGTAGTAAAAGAAGACGAAATGCTAAGAAAGTTTTGGGAAATTGAAGAGCAAACTAGTTCAAAGAAAATACTTACACCAGAAGAACAAAAATGTGAAGATTTCTATACTGCAACTACTAAACGGGATTGTACGGGTAGGTACATAGTTAGGTTACCTTTTCGGGACGAAGATCCACTTTGTAAAGCTGGCAATTCTCGGACTATAGCTGAAGCAAAATTTAAAGGTTTAGAAAAAAGGTTACAAAGGAATGAGGAATTAAAAGAAAAATATTCTGAAGTTTTAAACGAGTACATACAATTAGGTCATATGAGAGAGGTCAATGAAGAAGATGAGTTAAAGAATGTCGCTGTGTACTTACCACACCATGCTGTTGTAAGAAATGACAAAACTACAACAAAGGTGCGTGTTGTGTTTAACGCATCAGAAAAGAACAGCATGGGAGTATCGTTAAATGACACCCTGATGATAGGACCTACATTGCAGGCTGATCTTAGACACACTGTACTAAGATGGAGGTTACACTCTATAGGAATAGTGGCGGATATAATTAAAATGTATCGTCAAGTAAAAATTGCAGAGGAAGACGTAATGTTCCAACGAATTCTTTGGCGTGATAGTCCTGATAAAGAAATCAAAGACTATGAGCTCGTAACGGTAACTTTCGGAACGGCTTCTTCACCGTACCAAGCAGTCAAGACGTTACATGAAGTCGCATACGATGAAGGCCACAATTTTCCGCTGGCTAAAGATAAGGTATTAGGTTGCTTCTACATGGACGACTTAATGACAGGGTGTGATAGCATAGATTTAGGTGTAGCAATGTATAAGCAAATAAAAGCATTATTAGCGAAGGGTGGATTTAAGCTACAAAAGTGGAACAGCAATAGTAGAGAAATATTGGAAAGGATAAGGACAATGGAAAGGAATGAAATTGAAGGACAAACAGGACAATCAAATGAAGCAAATATTAAGGTCAACGGTAAGGAAGAAAAGGAAGAATTAGCGATCAAACTAGATAGTACAATCAAAATTTTAGGACTTACTTGGAACCGCAATGAAGACACCTTTCAGTACACGGTGAATCTCCCACCACCGACATCAGCACCTGTAACTAAAAGGACAATTATATCAGACATAGCTCGACTATTCGACCCATTAGGCTGGTTAGCACCTAGTGTGGTATTAGCTAAGGTATTCATCCAAAAATTATGGCTTAAAGGTGTTGGTTGGGACGATGAATTAACTGAAGCTATATTAAAGGACTGGAGTACTTACCGAGAAGAGCTGTCACTACTCACCACTGTCCGAGTACCTCGTTGGGTGGGCACCAAGTCCAACGATTATACAGAGCTGCATGGGTTTAGCGACGCTTCTAAAACCGCTTACTCAGCCGTAATTTATATTGGAACAATTAATGAAAATGGTAATATTAATGTCTCATTGTTGGTTGCAAAAACAAGAGTAGCACCTATTAAACAAATCAGCATTCCGCGCCTAGAATTGTGTGGAGCAGTACTACTTTCTAAGCTTTTATCATAAACCGCAGAGGTATTGAACATACCTACGGACAACATTAGAGCATGGACTGACTCTACTGTGGTGTTGGCTTGGTTGAACAGCCACCCAAGTAGGTGGAAAACATTTGTGGGAAATCGAACTTCTGAAATATTGACCACTACGAAAACTTCTCAGTGGTTTCATATTACAACTAAAGATAAGCCAGCAGACTGTGCTTCCAGAGGAATGTTACCAAGTATTTTTATAAACAATACGTTATGGTTTACAGGACCGTCATTTCTCAAAGAAAGAACAATAGCATACATCAGGCCAAAGGATTGTAATACAGAATTGGAACAGTCAGTTCAAGGATACACCGCAACTGTGACCTCAGAGAATTCAATATTTGAACGTTTTTCATCTTTACAAAGGTTAGTAAGAGTAATCGCGTACTGTCGACGATTTTTAATTAAAAAGGGAAACTTTCAAAAATATTTACTGAAGAAAGAACTTCAAGAAGCGTTGGAGTGTTGTATCAAAAAGACACAAAGAGATGAGTTTCTGACAGAATATTTACAACTAAAGAATACAGGCTGTTTACAATCAAAAACAAGTAAATTAAAATCACTTAGTCCATATTTAGACACTAAGGGCGTAATAAGAGTTAGAGGTAGAATTGAGAAAGCACAGTTGGATGATGCTACGAAGCACCCTATTGTTCTACCCAACTCTAACCACCTGACTCATCTCCTTATAGCGGATGCACATCTCAAGACTCTCCACGGAGGTCCACAGTTGATGACAAATTATTTAAGAACAGCATACTGGGTAATTGGAGTGAGAAATCTGGTCAAACGTCATGTTCATAAATGTGTAATATGTGACACAGAACACAAACAAAAAATCAACTGATGGGGTCTTTACCAGTAGCACGGTGCACTCCGGCTAGGCCATTCTTACATAGTGGAATTGACTATGCTGGACCTATAAATATTAGGACAACGAAAGGTCGTGGATACTGTTCGTACAAGGGATACATCTGTCTATTTGTATGTATGTCTACACGAGCTATACACTTAGAAGTAGTTACCGATATGAGCACGCAGGCATTCTTAGCAGCTTTCAGACGGTTTGTGTCTAGACGGGGACACTGCGCTAAATTATGGAGCGACAATGCTACTACCTTCGTTGGTGCTGCCCGAGAGCTAGAACAATTGAAGTGTATTCAGTCTTCACTTGCTGAACATCTGGAATCACACGGTACTGAGTGGCATTTTATTCCCCCACACAGCCCTAATTTTGGAGGATTGTGGGAAGCAGGTGTAAAATCCACTAAGTTTCACCTAAAACGGGTCATTGGCGAGGCTACACTTACGTACGAGGAAATGTCGACGCTTCTCTATCAAGTCGAAGCTTGTTTGAACTCGCGCCCAATGAGCGTTATAAACCTTTCTGAGCCTGGTGAACCGTTACCTTTAACGCCTGGTCATTTCCTTATTGGAGAACCTTTAGTAAATGTACCAGATGGCGACTACCAAAGTTCAAATTTTAGTTGCTTAACACGGTGGCAATTCGTTCAAAGGATGTTGCAATCGTTCTGGAAACGTTGGTCACAAGAATATTTATCCAACCTTATGAATAGGTACAAATGGGCATCGCACATTCCAGAACCTAAGCTTGGGGACATTGTTTTAATCAAGGAGGACAATTTGCCTCCAAGTCATTGGTTGTTAGGTCGCGTTGTAGAAAAATTTCCTGGAGATGATAACGTTACCCGTGTAGTCACAGTGCGCACCAAATCGTCCACTATTAAAAGACCAACTTCAAAATTATGCATTTTGCCCGTAGTAGAACAATAAATAATTGTTTCGACAGATTTTTGTATTGATTATCTTAACATGTTTTTTACAGCTTGTGGATTGTTTTAATTGATTTTAAGCGCTTGTGCTTAGTTAAAAATGTTTTTTTTTTTTCTCTTTGCAGTCCTTAACATTTTATGATTTTATATTGTTTTTTTTTTTGATAAGCAAAACATGTAGTTTATAATTTTTTTAAAAAATGTGTAACCAATAATTTTATTTTTAAAAAAAAATTATTCATTCTATGTTCTGTGGTAGTAATGAAGTTGTTAAGATTGTACGATTACATAAGTGTAAGCTTACAAATAAAAATCGATTTTGTAAATATGAATAAGTTTAGAATAAGTTCAAGTGTATTAGAATTAAGAACAAACATTTTAGCTCTTAGTTTTACATTTAATTTTATAATCATTGAAGGCCATTCCTTCAGTAATGTCCTTGGGGGGCGAATGTATATGAAGCTTTCATTTCTCCGCCCAACACTTGATGGTGCTGCGATCTATATAAAGCACGCTATCGTTTGTCACTTGGGACGAAATAAAGTCACCAAAAGTTTTCGATCAATATAACCAGCAACAGATCAGTACACAGTGTAGTTTTATTTATAAACTTCCTAGTGTGCACAACCATTGTTTGAAAGGCTACTTCGGTCTTTAACACATACAAAACGTCAATTTCATGGGTAAAGACCTAATAAAACTGGATATTGTGGCTAGCTATTGTCTATGTGCTGTGGTAACATTATCCGTACAAATCAGTTGCACGCTACTAAGACGAGCCACGTTTGGCAGCACCCAACATTTAAATTACTAGAACTTATATGTAACATATTATACACATAAATATCCTTTTTTTATTATGCAATCTGAGCTTACCTAATCAACGTCTTAACGTCAAGTAAGTTTTGCTTTTACAAAAATGATTGTTGAAAACAAATGATCTCACTTGTACGGATAGGTAAGGTGTACGCTGCGGCCTGGCGGTGGCAGTCGGCGGCGGAAGGCGCAGGGCGGGGCTGCCGAGCGCGACCACTCGCCCCGAAAGAACAGGTGGCGCTGGTCTTCGGCCGCCAGCAGCGTCGCGGCCGACAGTTCCAGCTCCAGCGCTGGACCGCCCGATGTCAAGGTGAGTGGCGTACTGGCATTGTCACACACGCACGCCACTGGCACGCGGTAACCCGGCCACGGCGACTCGTATATCCGAAGATACGGTAAGGGAAGGAATTCGTCGTCTCCATCTCTGTCCAAAGGTGACTCGCTCGGCCGCATCTCTCCCGGATCCATAATTTCCGGCGTACAGACTAGTTGTCCTGTTAAAGAATCCATCCGAGTGGTACACCGAGGTGACCGGCCGAACGATGCCGCATTCAATTTAAGTTCCACACGGCCGCCATCCGCTTGTATTCTATAAAGACAACGAAGGCGACGCGCTCCGCCGCGACCGAACCAAAGTGCATTCCGGGGAGAAGCGAAAGTACCGGGCTCCGTGAGACGCCTAGAGCACTGGGGTGGCTCTACTTTCATGTGACCCAACTCGCCGACCGCGAGAGGCGTGCCTTCTAATCGGGCATCCAAAAATTCATAATGCAAGGAGAATGTTAACGGGTGGGTGGCTGTGCCCGGCAGGGAGGTGGCGGCCAGTGCGAGCAGTGGGGCCGCTGACACGTAGCCGTCGGGCGGAGCGCACGGGCGCGGGGAGCGAGTGGCGTTGGCTAGGGCGGCGCGCGCGCACAGAGCCGGCGCCGTGTCGCAGTAGCGGCCCAGCGGCGAGGCGCCCGGCTCGCCGTCCCCGCCGCCATCCCAGATGCGCAGCTCGACCGCGCACGCGCCGGCGACCCGTGCTCCCAACGCCAGTAGCGGTGGGCGCGGCGACGGTGTCGCGCTCGGCTCCTCATCGCGCTCGCCACTCTCGATCCGTTTTTGTTCAACGAGCGAATATTGTGTGAAGCTCGAGAAGTAAATCCAAACAAGGTCCCCTACAAAAAGTAACCATTAAGCGCGAAAAGACACATTGCTATTTTTTCCTATTTCCTGTACATTCCAATACAAATCTTACCTGGACGGCCGTGAAACGTCCACGTGCATGTTGTATTTGGTGGCAACGTATGAGTGGGAGCATGCAGCCGACCACGACGACCACGGCCTCCCGCATTGGTTGCGTTTGTTTCTTCTTCAGACGATGAGGCTTTTACATGAAACTCGCACCGTCTCGCTTCTCTGCCGACAAACATTTTTACATGATTCAGATGAGTGAAGCGACTAATAGAGATATGACGTTTACTATTAAGAGATAATACTCACCGAGCATAGTCGAGCGAATCGGAATCTGCAAAAACTATATCTACGTCGAGTTCGAAGCCACGCAAGGGAGCGGCAGGGGCGGCCGGCCGCGGCGGGGCGCTGAACGGCGAAGAGTGGAATGCGACCAGCATCTCGGGGCCCCGCGATGTTATCCGTGGCAGCCAATCGCCTCCACAATATTCAATCAGCACGGGGTCGTCGGTGGAGGCGCCGTCATAGAAGATGAGCCGATCTCGCTCACCCGTACACTCGCGCCACGCACGCACTGCGCGACCAGTCTTGTTCAAACTACAGTGCAGTTAATTTATTTATCGTAAAATTTATTGTATAGTGCTTGAAACTCTCATGTTTTATAAAATTGTCTTGTTCAACATAGACATTTTTCGTTATTTAAAGAATCTTAAGTGGTCCGATAGCGATAAAATTTTCTGACTTACCTAGCCATTGATATCGAACGTTTTATTTGCATCTTGTGCGAGTGGTCCTGGCGCACCGATATCATAGCGTGCTTGCATGTAGGGATGTCCTTCTGACGCAAACTCCAATAACACGTGACGTTCCTTTTAAAACAATACCATAAGCGAATTGAGAAGGCATGATATATACTTAATTTCCATCAAAGATAAATGTCAAGTCGATGCTTACCTCGGATACATCCCGGGATAGTTGGGGCTCTGCAGACGGCAACGCTTGCGATGGCATTCCTCGTAGGTTCTCGTGCAGTAGGTGCCAGGCGCCACCGCACCACGCTCCAGAGGCGCCCCCGCCGCACCGAATCTACGCGCACACCGATCATTCTACTTTGCACGCGCATACCAATACGCTGCCAATAATGATTGAAATACAGCGCAGGTTATACATATACTAATATAGCTGCATTCTATAAATACAGATTTAATACTATTTGATAGTTACGTTAAAACAATTTGATTTATTCTTAGTTATTTAAAATCAAAATCAAAAATATATTTATTCAAATAGACGCTTTCGCGCTCTTATGAATCGTCAAATTTTACATCAAAGATTATGTAGATATAGGTTCGTAAGGTACCACCGGTTCGGAAAGCAGTTTCTGTTGAGAAGAGACCGGCAAGAAACTTTAAAAAATATCAGGGTACATTATATAATATACAGGTATAATAGTCTTATTCTAGCCTACGTGAGTATCAACAGTATTAACTCCACACATTGGCGTCGTCGAGATATTCCGAAATGGTATAATATGCTTTAATCATTAGTTGATTTTTAATTTTACATTTAAATTGGTCTAGCGGTGGGATTTTATATTATCCACACACACTTTGCCCCATGAACGACCTATTTACTTTTTGTAGACGAAACAATGGTGTAGTAAGTTTGTCCTTATTTCTAGTGTTTATTTTATTTGGTTGGTGTAAAGAATACCAACCAGATAACTTAATTAAAAGTTCAAATTTAAGAAGGTATATTTTTAAACATTGTTGCAGCTGTAAAAAAAACAAGGAATAGTGATTTAATGAGGTGAAACATATTTGCGCGTATGAGTAAATATTTAAAGGCGCAGTCATGAGAAATCGTCGCGAAAAAGTGTCATATCCAAAAAGCTTACATTTCCTCACACACATATGTCAAAGATTTACATGTATATCTATTCCTTCGTTCGAATCCAACTATAGAAAGTAAGTATTATTTTTTTCCCAATGTTTCAAACCCTTTTCAGCCTCAATGATCGCACATGCTTCATGCCGTTGTTGTGTAATGACCTCACGGCGCGAAAATCTTGACATCTCTCTACGTTCGTTCAATTGCATTTTTAGCAATCTTCTTCTATAGATGTAATAAAAATATAAATTATCAATAATATCATAATAATCTGTACATGGACCATATATGAGAAAAACTATTATTGGAGGCTTTAATCAACGCAATAGAACCCAAAACAACGATTGTTAATATATTCGTCTGTTTGTCTATTTGTATGTGCGTTTGTGCGCGCTATTCTCAAAAATTTTATTTTTCTCAAAAACTGTTGGCAATCCTAGTTCGGGCATAGCTTCGTCATACATAGATGGATTTGGAAAATTCTTTTTTGTTCGAAAGGGGTTTATTTCGAAATGGTCCCGTTTACATTTCATATAGATCTGATGATGAATTTCGGAGATGGACAATGGAACTCTTTAAAAAATTAAAGCAAATTAACCGCAATAAGCTTCTATCGCATAAACATGTATTGGTTTGCGCCATCACAAAACATTACATCAAGTCTGTACACCCGAAAAGGTTAAGCAGATGTACTTACTCAGTATAACTGAGACCGCGAAAATGGCGTATTTACACAATTAATACGCTGATTTCTAGGTCTCAGCTATCTTGATTGCATTGTAAGCGTCTATTGCCCAGTTTCCGAAAGGCCAATCAAAGCAGCAATCACATAACACTATATCAAAAATGATCAGCTGTTAATCTCTTGTTAAACTGCCTTGGGTTTCTGGAAGGTTTGTTCAAGAAAAATTAGCTAATCACTGTATAACTAATGATAATGATTGAAATGAATGATTTACTTCAACTAACTCTTTCTATTGTATAGCTGTCCCTCTTTAAACAAAACTTAAATTAACGTCATTATCCAGTGCTGTCACCGTGTGATTGCCAACGTAAAAATCAGAGTTATAATAAAATTTAATTTAGATAAATACATGCAAAATATCAAGAAAAATTTTTACAGAACGTGAAAAAAATGATTTTTATCCATAATAAACAAGTAAGTATTATAAAAAGAAAGAATCCATATTATTTATTAACTTTTGAATTGCATTTTTTATTTTTTCTATTCGCATGATATGTTCGCATAATAATAAACAATAAACAGGTAATAGAACACATGAATTTCCTTACGACGTATTAGGGAATTATGATTATTTTTAATAAAAACTAAGATTTTTGATAAAATACATTTTTAACCAACGATTGATCGTCCAAATTGACCGATTACTTAATAAAACTTTTGACAGCTCGTTGACCACCGAAAAATGCTTTCAGAAACTCGATTTTCTGTTGATTGTCCGTTAATCAGTGACTAATTGCAAATCAAAATCAATGTTGTTTTCAGACGTTCTAGCAACTCAGATCATGTTAAACAACGTTTGACAAGAGATTTATCGTAAATTAAAATTGATTGCGCTTTCGGAAACTGGGTGTATTTGTCTGACAGTGGGATTAATTTGAACTGCAACTCTATCAGTTGAGCCGTTCTCAATTCGCTAATGCGAATTGTTCGATAGGGGTATATTTCTAAATGGTCTAAAAAATAAAAATAATTAACAAAAGAAGAAGCGACTTGAAGTCCTCCGTGATGATGGGCCGGTCCCAATAGAGCTTGACACGGTCATTTTCGAGCAAGGCCTCCGGAGAGTACTTAAAGTACGGCAGTTTCCGATCCACAAGACCGTATTTCAGAGCGAGCTCCTGGTGTAGAATTCTAGCCTCTTGTCTGTAAGTTGTGTCTATGCCGATACTCAGAGTTAGAAAGTGTGGAACAACCGGAGATAATATGCCGAAGTATCTCCTCAATATGGCGACAACCTCGACAGATGTCGTCGGTGCCATCCCTTAGGATGTATTTCCGATAGTTGTTCGTCGTAATAACCTGATCCTGTATCACACAGACAAAACCTTCGGTTTCCCCAAACAGGTCACCGAAACCTAGCCAGTTAAGGGAGACAGCAGTATCTACGAAAGGCTCGTGTAGAGCCTTGTAGATACTACATCTCGTGGAGCTCTTACTCCTTCCATTCAGTGTCTCGGTCGGAAACGCTCAGAGCTCCCGGGTCCTTACCATTAAACAGTGAGTGTAATACATTTGCAATAGTATGAACCGAACACATGAAACTTAATTAACATTTCGATTTTTTTTTATCAATGGAAATAATGAAGGATGTCGTTTCTAGTTATCAACTTACACTTATCTTATTTTTAAATGGATATTGATTTAGCAGTGCAAAAATATGCAAAATAATTATTCGCGTAAAGTAAGAAACCATTAGAAGGTAAGCATTATGTTTAAAACTGTGCAAAAATCTGACACAATACCAAATAAATATGAAATACTACAAATAAAACTTTTGATTTCAAAGTACAAAATATGTGAAATATTTCAATATCAGGCATAATTATATTTTAGGATATTTCAGTTGGAATGTAAGTTTGACTAAGCAGCTCCATTGTACAAACACGAATTGTACAGAGATTATACAATACGTTCGTAGTAATCAATAGCGACGCGTGACCCTTGATATAATGCGATAACGTAATCAAATTTTTCGGTTCCGCTAATTACCGCTAGGTAACGAGGTTTTAGGGAAAAACACAAAATATGCACATAGCCGATAATCGGTATACATAATTATGTAAATACATACGTTTGCCCCTTTTCTCCATAAAAAAAAAATACACACACTAAAATTCTTTCCTAAAATTCCTCATACGGTCGGGTGCCGTAAGAGAGCAGTTCAGTTTATAGTTTTATGAATGATGTATTGTTGTACCTATGCTAATTAAGGTTTTAATTAAACATTAACCTTGAACATTCATAATAGTGCATATATACATATAGTGCATATAGTGATATGACCATATCCCAAAAACAATATCACCTATTTAAGGTAAATTATTAAAAATTTACCTAGATTTGTAAACTATAACAAATGATAGATTCTACAAGCGTGTTTAGGATCCTTTCTCCTAATATAGTATTGACATGTATCTCTTATACATCTCTTATGCTTGCCTCGCTTTATCTTTAGAATGCTGGAATGTGTGTACCTGTACTGGGTGGGCCTAGGGTTGCTAACCATACATTATAATGACGTATCCTACATTATTTTTGGTAAATATACTTTTTCAATTAAGTATGTGAACATACTCTATTTTCAATATTTATTGTTGTGCATAAATAAAACATAATGTATGTACATACCTACCTATACGGATAATTACTAAACTTTTATAGATACTTCTTAGTTGAAACAGAACACTTTCAACTTGGAAGCTTTTGCAGTTAATTATATTACAATAAAGATCGGGAATGAAAATTTAAGTATAGTGAAAAACTGAGTGTGTGCTAAAAGCATACAAAAATATAATAGAAAAAAAACAAATTTTGAACAATACTTTATTTTTCTTCTTTATACTTATTTTTTCTGTACTTGAAATATGAGATAATTCATTTTTCTCAAAAACAGTTGGCATCCAAACTATAGACGTATAGTTGATAGCTGCCCGCCCCGGCTTCGCACGGGTATTTAACAAAAAGTTATCATACACACACGTAAAACCTTACGAATATTTCATCTTTGGTGAAGAATTTTATGAATTTCTTCATCTTTTAATGAAATACCCTTGAAATTAGGTCATGAAGATCGAAAGGCCGCTGACCAGATAATGGTTCCGCTTTAATTACGGGACATTCGGAGTTACACGTAAAAGTGACAAATAAGTCTGGTCTCCCATAGCTTCGGACATAAATCATCGCATCTTTGGTTTTTTAATGCAGATAACTCGGAGAACCCGTAAATGAATATGACGTTGCAGATTACGCGTTGACCGATATTTGATGTGCCAATGTCTTGATTTAAGGCGTCTCAATCTCGTCTGAATGTTTCACCAGCCCTCAGTCTCTGGTGATCACGATATCATAATTATGTAATTCAATCTTTCTGAAATCTTTTTGCCATCATATCGACAATGTATTGAATAAAAACCGGCCAAGTGCGAGTCGGACTCGCACACGAAGGGTTCCG